TGCAGAAAGGTTTCTGACGCTGAAGAAGAAACGCCCCTCGGAGTCTTTGGGCTCAGTCGCTGATTTCATCGCTGACTGACAAACTCACGTCGCAGGTTTTGGTCCTTGTAAGCGTCAGAAAGGAGGAACGTGCTGATTGGCTAACAACGAGCCAATGAGGGTCCCACAGTCAGAAACACCTCTCGCTCACCAAGATGGCGATTACAAAACACACCACACGTCTTAACAATGCGACGTCATTAAGCAGTGATGTCACTGTGGCTACCTCCATCTTTTATATACAGTCTGTGGTTCTGGCCCATCAGCGCACCAGCATCAGAACAGGAAATATTTCCACTTCCTCTAACTTCGCTCTCCTGCCGCCCACGCCGTAGTCCCCCCCTCACTGTGGATTCGTACAGTGCGTGCCGAGGCCGATCGATGGCGGCGACAGTTGGAGGCAGACGGCTCTGACGGGCCTTTTAATTGCAGCTCGACTCCAACCATCACAGCTCCACACACAGTGAAGGCGGAGCCGTGCACTTCATTAGGTATGCCAGTCAGCGCCAGCAGAGCTGCGGCTGAATACTCAACGTATGCATCTGTCTAATCACCGAGGCTGCTCACACACGCACTCGGAGGCCTCGTTGCCCCGCAGTCAATTATTAAGAAGAGGGATCAGGGTGGAGATGCAGAGGGACGGCGAGCGTCGCCTGCTCCTTCCTGTCGCGTGCAGACGTGTGAGGGCGAGTGTGACACGGTATGAAATTATGAATGCAGCTTTCTGACCCATCAGTCAATCCACCTGCTAATAACCGCTGAGTGTTTGCATGCCAATCGATGACAGCACCTTTTTAGTATGCCTGCGACAAATTACATTAGCTGTGATGCATCGACGGTCGATGTGGAGATCTGGATGCGTGCTGACAGCGGGAAGAACCTGCATCATATTCCGCTGCTATTTACAGCCTGCGGCGTTTTCCCGGCCAAGAACGCGTGATGTCAGCTGGTGGGTGAAGCAGGAATCTGTCGTTACCCTCCAACATCAAACCCCTCACGAGCTTTCTCACGCTTAATCCTCTTCTTCAGTTTCTGTTTCCAGAATCAAACTCTGAGCCTCCTCCGAGTCAAACGCCACCCAGAGTCTGTGGCTGCTCTGCCAGCATCAAGATGCAGCTCCACCTGCTCCACCATCGTCCGCACCAGCCTGGAGGGCATCAGCGAGGATCACCAAAGGTCTTCTGACTGAGGAGCCGTCAGATTCTCACGATGTGATCATAGCATGACATCATCAACAAAGAGCAGAAGACACCGAGCCACGTGGACACAGGCCTTCCCCGGATCCTTTGCTTCATGTAAGAACAAAAAGGCACCGGGACAAAGCCGAGACCGCCACCAAAGACCTGAAACCACGCTTGTTACCCGAGAGTGGGAAGTCTTTCAAACGGGAAGGGTGATGTCACGGTCAGCTCAGCCAATAGTTGCAGACGATGCAAAGAGAGGACACAAGGAGAACACGGAAGCTCGTTCCAGGAGGCGGATCCTGGTGATCCACAGACGCTGATTCAGGGCGCTTAGAGGCTTTTTTCCCAGAGGGGGAAGTTGATGGTGACATTTAGATATTTACTTTTACTTCCTGTGTGTCGTCCACCATGATTAGCGTCAGCTGTTTGTTTCCTGTTACATCAGTGCGTCACAGCCTCAACTCCTCGCCGTGCTCTTTGTTTCCCGCCTGCGAGCGTTTCTGCCACGTCGGCCTCCTGCAGC